AACGGGCCACACCGGTTGCCTGCACGTGGAATATCCAAACAGTTGATCGTTGGAAGAGCTCGTATGAAGTCATAGAGATCCAGGGAGGGTGGAGCAGCCATAGGCCAGAGGAAGTCGAGGACGAAATGACTGCATAAACACAAGGTTTCGAAATCTTGCGCGGATCTCTTGCATCGGCGCCCGACCCCCCTCCTCCCTGGCGCGCGGAGCGAGCCAGGGGCGGCGCCAGAGGCACCGCCAGGGAGGGCCCAGCGCCGACGCAAGAAATCCGCGCGGAAACTCCGGAAGCTTAACTATACGTTTGCGCAGTCCTGGCTCAGACGACGTAGGGATCCGACGAGACCCAAGCGTCCACAGGCCACAATAAGCTTAGGTCGGGCGAGTCCCCCTACAGGCGGATTCTTGAATGAGAACAAGAAATGCCCCACAGATATTCAAACATGAGGAAACCATGCTCAAAACATCGTCCACGGATCAGTTCGAGGAGGAGGAGGAGGCGGAGGCGGAGGCGGAGGCGGAGGCGGAGGCGGAGGAGGAGGAGGAGGAGGAGGAGGAGGTAGACTATTTTTGAACCTTCCTCCTGCAGAGGGACAGGCGCGACTTGACAATACGCCCTGCGGCCACTGTCCGGCGAAGGCACACAGGGGCCCCAAGAGAGCCACGCGGGAGAGACCGAGCCGCCCTCGATGTATATAGGGTGCGGGCGGCAGGACGCCGAGCGCAGGCCCGAAGCAGCGGGGCCCGAGGCAGCGAGAGCAGGCCAAGCATCCGCTTGCAAGACGTGCAGCCCTGGGAGCATCCTCCTCCTCCTCCTCCTCCGCCCTCCTCCTCCTCCTCCTCCTCCTCCTCCCTCCTCCTCCCTCCTCCCTCCTCCTCCTCCTCCTCCTCCTCCTCCTCCGCCCTCCTCCTCCTCCTCCTCCTCCTCCTCCTCGAGACCTGCTTGCCTGCTTGCTCCTCGCCCTCCCCCTCCCCTGCCCCCCTCCGCCGCACGACGAGCGCCTGCGCGCGCGGGGCCCCCGCAAAGCTCCCGAGAACCAGGGATTCTGGGAGTCCCCTCGGGGGGGAAACGTCCGAAGCAGAACGGAACAAAAGCCGAAGACGAACTTGCGGAGGTACAAAACTGTGAAGACGGTGGAGGGGAACGGCCCCTTCTGAAGCGGCTCCTTCCTGGGCAGTCGTCTGACCACCCATGGACTCCATGCTTACACTCGCTGTGCAATTCCGCAGCAAAAGGAACCGATTCGTAGACCCACCACCAATCGCATCAATTTGGAAATCCACAACAAAAGGAGTCAGTTTGAAAATCCGCCGCAGAAGGATTCAACTTACACATTCGCCACACAATGATTTAACTTGTGCATCCGCCGCAAAAGTTTGCAAGGCGCACATCTGCCACGCATGGACCGATCAGAGCCTCAAACAACATTGTGCTTGCCGTCGTACAACGATGAAGCATGAAACCAACAAGTTCCGACTGAGACTTCTGACAATCTCACACCAGCGGAGTTGATTCGATTCTAAAACATTTGGAGAATAACTCAAGCGAAATCAGGCTTCCACACTGAGAACACTTCAGCAGCAACACGTGACACATGTTTGGACGCTTTGAAAAAAAACAAAAAAACACACATCCCTCTGGCGCGTCCAAGGCGTCACTGCTAATCCAACAGTAGTTCCGCCTCAGCTAGAAATGCTGCGAACGTCCGCCGCAAAATGATTCCATATGCAAATGCGCCACACAACGAATCGTCTCGAAAACCCGTCAGCAAAGAAATCAACTTGAACATCCGCAACACATTGAATCAATGTGTAAATCGGCCACACAGGGATTCAATTCCCAACTACACAACCAGACGAAGCAATGTGTAAATCGACAACCGAGGAATCACTTTGCGAATCCACCACACCACAAGCGAATGTACAACTCCCCGGCAGAAGGAAACCAATGTGTGAATCCACCGCCAGCGAAGGAGAATGGGGGGTGAGTGGATGAAAACGATGTTTGGGTGGACGATGGGGAGGAGGATCCTCTCTCCCTCGTCCCCTTGTTTCCCTACTCATGCATATCTATATTTTGATATATATATATATATATATATATATATGTACACTACATATACACGCATAAATAGCTCCATCAATCCTCCATTTCGTCCTCCACGTCACCATTGCCTTGCGTCTCCCCGTCGTTCCCCGCATATGATGAGATATGCTGCTGATTAGAGCTGAGAATCGGAAGCGATGATTGTATGCGATGGTGCGACTGGTACATCAACTCACCCATCCGTCATACAGCTTTGACAGTAATCGGGAAGGGGTGGTGACGATGAGATATATGGAGACGGGGGAAAGCATCCGCCACTTCCGCCGCCCTTCACCGAACCGTCTTTCCGCACATCCGTGAATCTACGCGCTTGCTAATATCTCTCAACTTTTTTCTACCCATCCCCATTCGCATCACCATCGCCGTACCCGCCATCATCCGCATCAGCGTCGTCCTCCACCTGTTCCCCACACCCAGTGCTCGCCCCTTCGTTGTTACAACTCATCACTCCTTTTTCCTACCCCAGGGAGGAGTTGCTGATGATAGGAAGGAGCAGTCGGTTTTATGAGGAGTGTGGAGAAGTCTCATGTTCCTCCTCATCCTCACTCGAGGGGCTCATGTCACCCCACTCCGTAGAAAAGGTATAGCAATCATGGGGGGGAGTATGCTGCTCGTCCTCCTTTTCTCCCTCCTCCTTCTGCTCGTCCTCCTCTCTATCTGCCTCCTCATGTTTATCATTGTTTGGTCATGAAAATCCTCATCGTCATGTCCATCGCCTCCATCACATCCCCCCCCCACAATCTCTGTCATCAGAAGTGCAGGACGGAAGTACGTACGACGATACTGTAAACCTGTGATGAACAAATCCGTGGGGGGCGCGTGTTTCAAACAATGGTTCCCCTGCTCGGGCGAATCGCGGGGTGATGCCCGCCAGATTGAAAATCAACGGGGCGGCACCGGCGATTCGCGCCGACGCCCGGCCGCCAACGAGGGGCAAGGGGGTGGTTGGAGGCAAGGGCGAGCCAGGGCGCCCCTCTGTCTGTCGAACCAAGGCGGGCCTGCGGGCACGGCGGGCTGGACGAAAGCTCGGCGCAGCAAGGGGGGGATTTGCCAAGCAGCTCGCGTCGCAGATTTTCCAAGCGCGTCCTGGCGCCGAAAGCGGCCATGCATCGAGGACTGGCCCTTCGGCGGGGCGACCGAAACCAGCTGCGCGCAGCAGGCTTTGCAACCCCCCCTTTCCTTCCCCAGCCTTTCATCCGACCCGAGCAAGGCGGGTAGTCCTCCTCCCCCCCTCTGTCGCTGTCGTTGCCGCCGTCCCCCGCCCTGACTGCGCCCGTTTCCAACGGCCGCTCTCTTAGTCGACGACGACGACGACGACGACGACGACGACGACAATGACGACGGGACGAGGACGAGGACGACGGACAGCAGTTGGCGACGGCGGGTGCGACGACGACTAAGCACTGCGGATGCCCTATGGGGGGGGGGGGCGCTGCAGCGAAGGCCCGTTGTAGTCGAGGGCGACGACGACCGACGACGACGACGGCGGCGGCGGCGGCAGCGGCGACGACGACGACGACGCCTGAGAGGATGTGTACGACTTGTATAACAACTTCTATACGACAAGCAAATCGTTTTGAGGCTGTCATGCAAGGGGTACACGATCCCCTCGGCGGCGCCAGCGCCGACCACCTGGCGCGCGTGATTAAAAACAATTTCGCGCCCCGCGGGGTCTATTCATCAGCCCTGGGGGGGGGCGTGGCGGCCCTTTGTTAACCACAAGCTGACATTGGTGGCGAGAGGAGTGTGATGGGGAGGAGAAGGAGTGCGAGGAGATCAAGGAGCACGAACGAGAGAGGATCGTCCCTTTCCTCATCCTTAATTGTCCGTAACTGTCCTTAATATCCTCATCCTCCTCTTTCTCCGCTTCCACTTCCCTCTCTTCACCCCCCGTCTACTCCACCGTGTCCATCTCCGCTTACTCCTCCGCCTCACAATCCGCGCTCACCTCCTCGGGGGCTAATGGGGGAGGAGAGGGCGAGCAGGAGGAGGAAGAGTGAGAAAAGAGGAGACTTCGCATCGCCCTCAACATCAGCCTCGTCCCTCCATCTGCGTCTCCTCTTCGCTCTTCATCCTCCTCGTCTCATCGCGCAACGTCTTCGATCGGGGGCAAAGGGGGCGCATGAGGCACGGGGTAGTGGGAAGAGCGCGAGGACTCCTTCACCAACTGTTCATGTCTCCAGCTCATCCTCGGAGAAAGATGAGGATGACAAGCTTTCGAGGTGAACGAGCGGCGCGGTATACGAAAGATGCGGACCGTGATGTTTCGCGAGGCTGTCTTTTGCTCGCAACGTCGGTTCTCGGGGACCCAGGGCCAGCCCAGACCCCCGACGTCGCGTGTTTCACCAGGAGGTCTGGACTCCTTCCCCGGGGCCGCTTCTTCCTCCTGGGTCGTCTGTTGACGATCGGGGGGCCCTGCAAGGGCTCCTGGAGGCCGAAACTGGCGGCAGACTCCCCAGCGTGATTCTTTTGTCACAGCGCGACGGGATCTGGGAGTGATGGTGGGGAGGCATCGGGCAGCCCCAGGAGGCCACGAGCCACTGCGCCTCGCTGCGCGCCCGCCGCGCCAGTCTTTTTGTTCCGAGAGAGGTGTTCTGCTCCTCCTCCTCCTCCTCCTCCTCCTCCTCCAGCTCCTCCTCCTCCTCCTCCTCCTCCGCCTCCTCCTCCTCCTCCAGCTCCTCCTCCTCCTCCTCCAGCTCCTCCGCCTCCTCCTCCTCCTCCTCCTCTCCTCCTCCTCCTCCTCCTCCTCCCCCTCCTCCTCTTCCCCGTCCTCCTCCTCCTCCTCCTCCTCCTCCTCGGCCTTCTCCTCCTCCTCCCCACCCTCCTCCTCTTCCCCTTCCTCCTCCATTTCCTCCTCCATTTCCTCCTCCTCCTCCTCCTCCTCCTCGCTCTGGTCCTGGACCTGGGCCTCGGTCAGGGCCCCAGCGCTTTCCAGGTCAAGGACCTTCCTGGCCTCGGGATCGGCGGCGCTGCACGGGAGAACGGGCGAGAGCGAGGAGGCGGGGAGGTGACGGGGAGGACGGGGAGGAGGGGAGGGCGAGGATCGACGAGAGGGCGCAGGGGAGAGGAGGGAGGATTGGGGGGAGCTGGAAGGGAGGAGGGGGGAGGGGAGGAGGGGAGGGAGGGGAGGGGAGGGGGGAGCGGGGGGGGGAGGAGGGGTGGCGCGGAGGGAGGAGGGGAGGGGAGGAAGTGCAGATCCTCAGAGTGGCATTGCGAATTGTCTTCCGCCCTGACTGAAGGAGGGACTATGTGACAGAAGCCTGCGAGCGTGGCCCCCAGATAGTGCTCTTGACCGTGCGGTCGGGGCTACGATAGGAGCAATAGGAAAATCCCATGACGTGCAAGCAATGGTTGGGGAAAGAGATAATGGTGCTCCTGCAATTCCACGGCAACCCAATTATGTTGCATCCTCGGGGGACCTTGTCTGCCCCCGTCGCGGCCCTATCCGCGTCGAGTCCGCGCTGAATCCATGTCGGACTCGTCCGATCCGTATCGAATCCGTGTCGCATCCGCGCCGAACCCACGCCAAAGCCTCGTCGAATCCGCATCGAGCCCGCGCCGGTCACAAGAAATCGCACCAATGTGTGGGACAGGCGAGACCCCCGAATATACAACGCAACCCCAACTGTCGCAATGGCGCTGCTGCTTCAGAACTGCGGATTCCAGCCTTCTGCCGTAACGGCCCCGGCAGTGTCGCTCTGGCTATTCCCGCGGCCCCCGACTGTCGTCACGGCGCTGCTCCCTCCTGAAGTGGAGACCCATGCCAAGAAACACTCTGCTTGCCCCCAGGGTGCCCTGGGTTTCTTGGGTTTCGATGGTTTTGCTACAAACAGCGTAACGTTCCCACGCTTACAACCCATGGACGTCCAGGGGTCTCAGGGTTGGGTTTCCTGTGGAAGGTTTCTTGTGGACAGGCCCCTGCTGTACTGCACACCTCCCCGTCTGGCCATCCCCCTCCCCCTCCCCCTCCCTCCCCCTCACCCTCCCCCTCCTCCTCCTCCTCCGCCTCCTCCTCCCTATCCTCCTCCTTCTCCCTTCTCCACCAGCTAGTTCGTAGCGCGAGGTCCGAGCAGTGAGGCTTGGGCCGGCGCTGGAGGCCTCTTCCATGGCACACACAGACACAGACACAGACACCCACACACAGACACACGCAGACATGCACAGACACACACACACACACACACACGCACATACACACATTACACACACGCACACACACACAAACACACGCGCGCACATAGATACACACACACACACACACACGCGCACACGCACAAGCACACGCACACACACACACACACACACACACACACACACACACACACACACACACATGTGGGTCAAGAGCTGCCGGTGCGTGCCCGAGAATAGACCCGCGCAGACCACAGGCAGAACACGGGTCAGGGAGCGCAGGGGACCTCGAGCCGCCAGCGCATGTGCCGACGCAGACACGGCAAGGGGGGCGAGGGAGAGGGGGGGAGGAGGAGGAGGAGGAGGAGGAGGAGGAGGAGGAGGAGGAGGAGGAGGAGGAGGAGGAGGAGGAGGAGGAGGAGGACGAGGAGGAGGAGGAGGAGAGGAGGGGAGGAGGAGGAGGAAGAGGAGGAGGAGGAGGAGGAGGAGGAGGAGGAGGAGGAAGGGGAAGAGGAGGAGGAGGAGGAGGAGGAGGAGGAGGAGAGAGGAGGAGGAGGAGGAGGAGGAGGGGGAGGAGGAGGAGGAGGAGGAGGAGGAGGAGGAGGAGGAGGAGGAGGAGGAGGAGGAGGAGGAGGAGGAGGAGGAGGAGGAGGAGGAGGAGGAGAGGAGGAGGCGCTGGCGCCCAGGAAACGAGCCCCGAAAGGCAGGTCCCGGAAGTTCTCGGTGCCGCTTTGGACCCGCTGGGCCTCAGGGCCGTGCTCAGCACTGCCCAGGGCAACGAGCCGGTCCTGGGGCGCGCGCCCTGGGGCGAAGTACCCCGCTTCCCTCGGGACCCCTTCCCCTTCCTGGCGAGAGGAAGGAGAACAGGTCCGAGGACGGAGCCTCCTCGAACGGGTTCTCGATTCCTTCCCGGGGGGGGCCCTCCCGAGGCGCCGCGGCCTTCCCAGAGAATGCAGGAACGCTCTGAGAGCGTGCCGGAACGCCGGATTTGTCCCCGCCCTGGCCCCGTCCGACAATGCTTAGAAGGAGAACAAGCAACATGAACATAAACTCTTGGCGCTCCGCGCGGATTTCTTGGACCTGCGCTGGAGCCCCCTCCCTGGCGCGCGGAGCGTGCCAGGGGCGGCGGAGTCGCCTCCGGGGGCGCCCAGAGCGGATCTAAGAAAACCACACGGAGCGCCAAAAATTTGCGTTTATGGCGTTTGTTCTTCTTCGAGTTGCGACGCTGGTGGGCCTACTGCTTCTGGGCTTTGCTCTTTCCCTGGGGCTGTTTCGTGCCTTCCTTGGAAGCGATTCTATCGATCTCTTTCGCTGTCTTCGGGGATCTTTCGACCCGGGTCAATCCGGACCCGGGTCAGCAGGAAACCAAAAACTGCAATGCAGGGCAAAAAAACTGCAACGCAGGTCTTCGCAAACCCGGGTCAGCCAGTATGCGCGGCCGCCTCGCGGCCACGAGCGGCTCGCTAACCCGGGTCAGCCAGAGGGGGTCTTCGCAGGATCCTGCAGGATCCGGTGCCGTGGCTGAACCCCGTTTGCATTGACCCCCGTCTCTTAGGCCCCGATGTCTCATGTTTGGGAACCCCCAAACCGGGTGGTGAGATACCAGGTGGTGACCTGGAATCCCCAAAAAGGTCACCGCTGGGTTTGGGGACGCGGGGTCACCACCGGGCTTTGTGACTCCTGGACCCCACCAGTGTCCGGGACATCCTCGGAAAACCACACGAGTCCCCAAACCGGGTGGTGACACCAAATCGCCCGAGACTCACCACCAGGTGTTGTCACCACCACGTTTGGGGACTACCAACATGCTCTACTTCCGCCGGTTTCCGCCCGCGGAGGCGGCCTCGTTGTACTCCCGCGAGCCTCCGCCACCCTTATATGCCGCCTTCCGCCGAGGCCCAGCTCTTTCGATCCTCGAAGAAGAGGCCCTCGCTGGAGCGCCGCAGGTGCCTGCGCAGCGAGCGCTTGGGACCGCCAAGGGGGGCCCCCAGACCGAGCACTCCTGGCGAGGCGCAGCTGCTGAGGAGCATCCCGAGGCCAGAAAGCATCCAGGAAAGCCGACGAAAGCGTGCGAAAACGTGCGAAAACGTCGTCGTCGTCGTCGTCGTCGTCGTCGTCGTCGTCGTCGTCGTCGTCGTCGTCGTCGTCGTCGTCGTCGTCGTGTCGTCGTCGTGTCGTCGTCGTGTCGCCGTCGTCGTCGTCCAAGACGTCCGCCGAATTTATTGCTTTCCATGCGCCGCACCACAGGTCCCGACCGCTTCCTGGGGCCAATTTCTGCCGCAGACCGCTTTCTGATGGTCCTGGGGCCCGAAAACGGCCCCAGGGGGCCGACATCTACACAAGAGAACGCCCGGATTGAAAACACATCTCGTCAGAGATGTGGGTCGTCGTCGTCACGGTGGCGGCGACGACCTCGCGATGCGTCGCCCCTGCCTCAAATCCTCGGCCCTCGACCCTACAGCCTCGAGCAGCGGTGCTCGATCCTCGATGCTCAAACCCTCCATCCTCGATCCTCGGTGCTCCATCCTCCATCCTCGATCCTCAAAGAACACGACAGCCCATGCCACACATAAGCCGGCAAGTCTCTGCCGCCGTATTGATCATCATGAACCACGCGTCCATCGCAGAGCGGGGGGTCACATGCCGCTCCTTGGCCTACACCCTGCCCCGAGCCGTGCCCACCGCGGTCGCCGCAGTGACCTCCCAACACCGACCTGGAGGCTTGGTCTGGGGTCGGATCTCACGCCACGAATGCTGGGACCCTCGTCCGTGGCGACCCTGCTTGGGCGTCGCCCGAAGGGGGGGGGCAATAAATGAGGCGGGGGAAGCAAGGTGCACCCTTCGGGCCCTATACGGGCCCCCTTTGGGCCCTGAGGGGCCCCTGCAGGGGCCCTGAAGGGCGCTCTTTCTGTATAGCCCTCGCCGCCCCACCATCACGCCGGCTCTGGAAGACGTCTCGGGAGCCGCGGCCTTCCCAGAGAATGCCGGAACGCTCTGAGAGCGTGCCGGAGCGCCCTGGAACGGATGTGTCCCCGCCCTGGCCCCGTCCGACAATGCTTAAGAAGGAGGACAAACACCATGAGCATAAACTCTTGGCGCTCCGCGCGGATTTCTTGGACCAGCGCTGGAGCCCCCTCCCTGGCGCGCGGGGCGCGCCAGGGGTGGCGCCGGAGGCGCCGCCGGGGGGCCCCAGCGCGGATCCAAGAAATCCGCGTGGAGCGCAAATGTTTTTTCCCCACCCGACAGGTTGCGGTTGTTAGATTTCAAGAACAAGCTCCTGGCCAACCCCACCCTGCATACCGCTGCCGCCAGACCCCAAGTTGCCCCGAGAATCCCCTCGTATCCCTGAGTCCCTTGGAATCCCGCCCCCTCGCCCTCGACAAGAATAACTGCATACCGCGGCCGCCAGACCCCAAGTTTTCCCGAGAGTCCCCGAGTATAGCATGACAACATGAAGCATTATCTCACATCACAAAACATACCCAGGCAGAACATTGCAGAACAGAAAACCACAGAACACACTAAAATAATATGACTGATCATAGCATCACGCACCTTCACGGGACATATCAGATCATGACACAGCGTTCATAACAGGTCATAACACGACAACAGAGCATAGCGACGAACATGATATAACACAACGTGCCACAACATAATATAATATGACGGAACATAACATGGCAGAACCATTACACAACATATCATGACATAACATCACAGAACATAACAGAGTATATCACGCCAGGACAGACCAACATAGTAGACAGAACACGACAGACCAGAACAGAGCATGACAGAACATGGCAAATCACTGCATAACACGAAAGAAAAGAGCACACTTGAACATCGCATAACAAACAAGAGCCGAACGTCACATAACAAAGAACCACATCACATCACAAAACAAACCAAACTGGAGCACTAGAGAAGATCACATAACAATCCAAAACCAGGGGTCCGAGAATCCCCGAGTCGCGCCCTCGACAAACCCGAAACAACACAGCACTACACAATATAACGTAACATAGCCATATAATTACAACATAACTCGTATTATTTCCGGGCAGAACATTACATAACAGAAAACGACAGAGCACACCATAACATAACGCAACGGATCGTACCATACCACACATTGACGGACCGTATCATATCATAGCGTAGCGTTCAGAAAATATCATGGCACAACAACAGAGCATGGCGACGAACACGACAGAACACAACATGTCACAATCAAAGGTAACGTAACAAAACGCCATCATGACATAACACGACGGAACATAACATGGCAGCATCATTACAACACCGATCATGACATAACATATCATACTATCCCAGATCACATCATAACATAACAGCACAACACTGTACACATAACACGACAACACATAACAGAGCATGACAGAACATGACAAACAATGCATAGCATGAAAGAACAGACAGAACACACCATAACATGACATAACAACCCAAAACAGAACGTCACATAACAGAGACCCACAAAACATCACGGAACAAACCAAACCAGAGCACAAGAGAACATCACAAAACAAACCAAAACCAGGCCAGACCCCCAGTTGTCCCGAGAATCCCGCAGTCCATGCCGCCGCCCCGCCGCGGGCGGCCTCCTCGCCTGCGTCCCTCAGTCTAGGGATGGGAGGGGGGAGGAAGGAGGAGGAGAAGGAGGCATGGGGCAGGAGGAAGAGGACAGGGGCCCAAGGTTTCGGTGGGGATCGCTCGAAGCAAATCATGTCTATGGCGTTGTTTCATCTTCGATGGAACGGATCTGTCCTCGTCCAGACCCCCGTCGTCGCGATTGTTTCACACCGTCGACCCCAAGAGGTCTGGACCCTTTCCTCGGGACCCACTCTTCATCCGGAGTCGTGTTCCGACGGCCCCGAGGCCCAGTGCGGGCCCCCCAGGAAGGCCCACGCCGGTGCCAAGGCCTCCCGTCGCGATTTTGTTCCACACCGCGAGGGGGTCGCTAGGATGCCAACTCGGGAGCGGCCAAAAGGGGGTGTCCAAGAGGGGGGTGGCAAATCATGACTGGCGGCACCGGCGCGGCCCAGGGGGGGGGGGGGCCAGGGACGTCATGACATGAGAAGGGGCGCGTTGGAATCTGGGGACACATCGTGGCCCCCGCAGTGAGAACCACCCCCCCCCTAGTCGTCACCCCCCTCTTTTAAAACAGGGCTAGGATCGGGATAAATCGCTCCAGAGCGTTCCGGAGCGCTCCCAGAGCGTTCCGGAACGCTCTGGAGCGGCCGCGGCGCCCAATACATCCTCCAAACCCGCCGATTCTCAGAGACTTCGAGTTATCCCGATCCGATTCTGTCCCGATCTTCGTGTCGTTCATCTTTGCTTCCCTCGACCCTCGACTGCGGCGACCCTGCTGGGGCCGGGGAGGAGGAGGAGGAGGGGGGGGGGAGGAGAAGGAGGAGGAGGAGGAGGAGGAGGAGGAGGAGGAGGAGGAGGAGGCCTCGTCCGGCCGCATGCGGCGCCGCGACGCCATCTTCGCGGCGGCCTGCGCCGCCGCGCCCCGGCCGGCCGCCGCCTCCCGGTAGGCCTCGAGGACGGCCTCCGCGGGCGGGCCGCCGTCGGCGCCGCCGCCGCCCCCGGCGGGGAGGGACGGAGCCCGAAGCGGCCTCCCCCTCCCTCCTCCCCCTCCCCCTCCTCCGCCTCCTCCCTCCTCCTCCTCCTCCTCCTCCTCCCTCCTCCTCCTCCTCCTCCCTCCCTCCTCCCCCTCCCCTCCTCCTCCCCCTCCCCCTCCCTTGCTCTCCTGCTCAGCGCCGGAGAGCGGCGACCCCTTGATTCCAAGGGCCCGAGCGCGCGGCCGCGAGGCCCACGCGTGGAAGTACCGAGAGCCCCGCACCGCGCCCCGTATTTCAACGTTGGCCACCAAAGACACGCCGAAGGGGAGTGCGAGGCGCTGCGAAAGAAACGCCCACTCACGTTGGACTGCCCAGCCCTCCCCGTCAACCTTGAAATACGGGGGAAAAGGGGCGTGTTTCGTCGTCTTGTTTTCGATCCCTCAGGTTGGCGTTTATTTCGCAAGCGGCGGTATCCTGAGGTCGGGCATGTCCTTCTATACCGGCGGCTTCTGGAAGGAGCATGGAGAAATCATCCAAACAGGATCCAGCCACAGCCGGCAATAGTCCAAGCATGGTCCCGTGCCCGACTTCACGCTGTCCTGTTTTTTTCTTCCGCTAGGTCTATGTTACGGTGATGACGGCTGGTTGACCATGGCGCTATAGTGATGGCC